CCCTCCCTCCCTCCCTCCCTCCCTCCTTCCCTCCTTCCCTCCTTCCCTCCCTCCTTCCTTCCTTCCTTCCTTCTTCCCCTTCCTTCCTTCCTTCCTTCCTTCCTTCCTTCCTTTACATCCTACAGCAGTTTCCCCTTCCTCCTCTCCTTCCAGTCCCTCCCCCACCCTCCTCATCCACTCCTCCAGTTTCTCTTCAGAAAAGGGCAGGATCCCATGAATATCAACCAAACAGTGCAGACTGAGTTTACCACATCCAGACTTAGCAGGAGAGGAGGTGCCCACACTTCTTTTTAGCCCCCATCTATGATCTCCTGATCCCGAGAGGAAGCAGAGGTTGACTGGATGTTTTATTTCCCATGGTATTTTTTATTATTAGTGAAAATAGACTTTTTTAACACAATATTTTCTGATCACAGTTTTCCTCCCTCCCTCCCTCAGCTCCCACAGATCTTCCCCACCTCTCCACCCACCCAAATCTGTAATCTTTTTTTCTTTCTCCCACTAGAAAAATCAGGCAATAAGATGAAAGAAAAAATTAGTATAAAACAACACACACACATTCACACTCACAGGAATAAAACAAAAGCCACAAAACCTTAAACCATAATATATCAGCAAACACCTGTATGGTAAGATAGAGAGGAGAGAGAGAGAGAGACTCCAAGAATACTGTTGAGTTCACTTTGTGTTGGAACATCTACTGCTGGGCACAGGGCTTGTTCTTAAGTGTGGTTTATACAGCCAGTGAGACTCTTTTAGTTTTTGTGATTGTGATATAATTGTATCATTAACAACCGCCCCCCCCAGCCTTCCTATATACCCCTCCTCGCTCTCTTTCAAATTCATGGCCTCTTTTGTTATTAATGGTTACATACATATATGCATATAATTATACTTTCCTAAATACATGAACACACCCTTCTCATCTGCATAGTGTTACTTGAATGTGTTTTCAGGGCTGACCATCTGGGACTGGATAACCAGTTGGTGTGCTCCTCCCTGGGGAAGACTATTCCTCACACCCCAGCACTCCACTGATGTCCGTGGTTCCTGCCTAGGGCTCCAACCTCTGGGCTTCCCTGTCACACACTCTTGGTCAAGGCAAGTGTCCCCTGCTCAGTTAGGGCTGGATGCTGCTGCTGGTCCCAGGACTCCAAAAAAAAAAAATGTCCCATTTGGGAATAAACTTGAGAACAGAACAATCCTGTCATAGACCATGTAGGAAGGACTGGAGTTGGTGTCCTAATCAGGTCACCTCCCCAAATATCAGCACCCAACAGATGTATTTGGGCCAGCCGGTTTGCCCTTCTCTGATCCCACAGCTGCCCCACCTGGAGCTGAGCAGGAAGCCAGCCAGCGCTCAGCACTCAGAAGACACCACTCCTTCTATTCCTTGTGCTCTTGGTTCTCCCATAAACACAGCAGAAAGAACAGGAGATCTTCCTCAGTGCTGACCTGATCTGACCTATGCTGACCCAGGGGATCCACAGAGGAAAAACAGACGCTGCCTCCTCCACTTTGGAGCTTAAATTGTGAGAGTGAGGAACAAATATGAGAGGGGGTGGAGTTCCAGTAACAGGAAGACTTGAGTGACAGGAGGGGACAGAGAAGCCCTCTGGGGAGTGACAGAGAAGATGTGTCACAGATGGAGCAGAAGAAGAGGGTGGGGACTGTCAGTGTCAGGGGAGGGGGCGCATCTCAGCTGAGACAACACCTCCTGCAACCTGAGTTCATGATCAACAGTGCACAGGGCGTGAGGGCGGTGGGGGGGGGGCGGGGGTGAGAGCGGGGTCAAGAGGAGCTAAACTCAGAAGCTGTGGGTGACAGAAACTTCTGGAAACTACTGGAGAAGTTTCTGGAAATGAAAACCATGATCCCAACACTGACCCACAATCCATTATCTGAATTACAGACCCAGAGAATTCACAAGCCAGATCTTTTTAAATCAGATGCCAAGTGTGACCCCAGGCACAGGTGAGGGTGTCAGTCGGTCACATGAGCAGCAGTAGTTTCAATAGGGATGGGGCAAGACAATCAGATGTATAGTTTTTCATTTTAATATTTAATCTAACTCAGACAATGTACAAGAGATTTGTTAACAGTAACTCAAATACACGTGAGCACCAGACATTATCACCTACCTGAATGAACAGAAAGATAAAGAAGTTTGGAGCATTCAGTGGGGAATATTTGCCGCAGTCATCACTACTCATGGCTCTATGAGAGACCACTGAGAGTCAGAGATGGAATATGATCTCTGTGTTCTGAGACATCGCTGAGGATAGTCAGAGGAGACTGGGTTTGATTTATATTAAAAGACAAAATGGAGGAAAAACAACAGATTCGGAAGTCATAGTAAACGTTAGTGTGAGGGGACTGGAGAGGGTTTAGCAGTTAAGAGCACTGGCTGCTCTTGCAGAGGTCCTGAGTTCAAGCCCAGCATCACATGGTGGTTCACAATCACCTATAGTGGGATCTGATGCCCTCTGCTGGCATAAAGGTGTACATGCAGATAGAATACTCCTACATTAAATAAGTACACTCTAAAAAGAAAAAAAGAACAGCTGGTGTGAAGGAGGAAGGGGCAAGGGCAGGAGACCTGGTCTCTGAAATGTGACAATGGGGGGAGAGGCAGTCTGGAAGCTTCTGTGTGTCATCTGATGTGTAAGATGATAACCCTTACTTAGAGAGAGGAAGCACACAGTGAACAGCAGCCCCCAGTGCTCTACACGGCCTTCCCTGCCAAGACCTAAACAGCTCTATGGACACCATCCTCATCCTCGCTGCCACATTTTCATCAGTTAAAGCACAGAGGCTCAGACAGCTCGGCCACAGTCCCAGCATTTGGGGTCACAGCTTAGCAGTGTTAATAACCCCATCTTTTCTATCCCATATGCAGACCCCAGACTTTGTTTTTCCAGTGTGTGGTGTAGACATGAGTCATGAAACTAGAAGTGGATCACAAGATGCAAAGAGGACTCAGGTCCTTTCCATGGACTCAGGAGAGAGAATGTAGGAGGAAGTGAAATGCAGATAGATTCAAACCACAAACATCAAATGGGCTCTAACCTGCCCCGGGGTCTCAGAAGAGGCCTCACAGACTTTGAAACAGCTCACACAGCCCATGCTCTCTCAGGCTGCCTTAGCTGCCCTGTGCTCCCAAGGGGAAAGGGAACTAACCCACCAGCCAGCAGGCTCCCCATGCGGGAACAGGCTGCACAGACACTGGAGTCAGGGCTCAGTCTCTCAGGTGCCCAGGCAGAGGCCTCATGGCCTGGAGAGGATGCACACAGATTATCCTCCGGATGCCCGCCCTGTTCCCCTGACTCTGTGACATTTCCAGAGAAACCTTTGATTACGTCAATATTTGACCATTTTTTAACTTAAAAATAAACAGAAACATACGTACAGCATAGAATATAAATACACTATATGAAGGTCCATTTTTAAAGAGAAACCTCTTCGTCATAGCTCAACATAATGAAGACAAGCCCTGTTCAAAGGATTAATTTAACCCCATGGTTTATCAATCCTCTCCAGGTCCTGAGAACTATGACACAAGGCTGCAGATGCTCCAGGAAGAAACTGGAAAGCTGTGGCTGATACGTGGGGCCTCTCACACAGACCTGAGAGCACAGGCATCCACACTCCTCTTTGAGGAAACAGTTTGGATTTCATGTGAGGACTGTGGGTGGTCACAGAAAATATCAATAGATTCAAGGGGCTTGACCTGGACAGTGAGAAGTCGTCCCCTTCCTCCCCCGCCCCCAGCAGCTCAGCACCTGAGGTGTGCACTTACGTCGGGGGTCCCTGACCAAAGCCACGGGAGGGCTCAGCACCATCAGTGTCAGGACCACAGCTGCCACCCAGGGGCCTCTGGGGAGCCACAGACACACCATGCTGGAGGAGAGGAGAGACCAGAACAGGAGGAGCAGACAAGCTCACACAGAAGAAATTGTCACCTCTCTTTACCATTGCCAGGATAGTAAGAACCAGGGGAGTCACTGGTCTGGTGCTAGACTGGATAAATTTAGGGTGAGGAGCCAATCAGCAGCAGAGGAGAGCAGAATCATCAGTTGCTGGTTAGAGATTCAGTAAGAGGGTCCTCTTCTGAAACTAGTAATTTCCTCCATTAAAAGGCAGATAAGCGTGAGGAGGGGAGGGATTGGGAACTGGGATTGATGTGTAAAATGAGAGGAGTGGTTTTTTGAAAACAATAAACAAACAAGTAATTAAGTAAATCAATTTTAAAAAATGAAGAAAAAAAAAAGATACTCAGCTTGACCTGGCAGCCCAAGCCTCCAACCCCAGCACTTGGTTGGCAGAGGTAGTTGATTCTCTGAGTTAGCGGCCAGCCTGGTCTACCTTATAAAAGCCTCAAACCAACCAACAAACAAAAGAATCAAACAAAGGCTAGCTTTTTGTGTGGGGGGGAGGTAGGGTGTGGTTTGGTTGGTAGTTCATTCCCTGCCCCCTGTTCTTGTGAACGTCCCCACATCCGTGTGCCTGTGGACAGTGCTAACTGGATTCAGTGAGTTGGTAAGTTTTTGAAAAGTGAAAATGAAGTTGGAGGGTCCCAGGGGAATCTGGAAGGGGGGTGGTGGTAACTAGGATCTAAATACAGTGTACACATGTGTAACTTCTTCAAAGGGTAAATGTTTCCAAAGTATCCTTTTATTTGCTATTTTAAATGCTTGATCCAGTTGCAGCTGGAACACTAATCAGGCCGCAGTGCTGAGTGACTTAAGATGGTCTGTCATTCACTCACCAGTCTGAGCACTGGGAGCATCCCCCTCTCTTACACCTCTAAAAAGGGCTGCGGGGCAATTCTGTGTTTGCAGCTTGTGGGAGTAAAAGAGGTAAAGTGATGTGGGAATTCCCCTCTTGGCAGAACTGGCCTTTGGGTTAAGAAAATCCCATACCTCAACTACTGACAAAGATACAGAATATCCATAAGTGGATGAAACAGGATCGTCTTATCTTGCCAAGACAGGGTAGGATAGTTCTAAGAAAGTTCCTTACCTTTAATAATGGTATGTTAGTTATGTTAGGCCTTAGCAGGTGAGAACTAGAGATGATGCTCCTCTTTCTGATGTAATTGACACAACTTTCCTGGTGTTTTATCCTTTAGCACAACCCACAGAGGTCAGATCCAGGACTGCAGGGGATGCTCGGGGAAGGAACTGAAATTCTCACAGCTGTGAGGATTAATAGAATAGCTGGAAGAACTTAAGTTTCCTTTCCCATCCAGGTCTCTCGTCAGCTGTGCCATGGCAAATCATTGACCTCCTTAGAGTTCAGAGCTCACACTGGGCAGTTTAAAGTACTCAGGGTTGGACTTATGACCTCATGCATGCCGGGCAAGTGCCTGTCATGGAGTTTCAGCTCCAGACCTCTCTTTACTTTGAGACATTATTCACTAAGTTGCCCAGGTTATCCTCGAACTTGTGATCCTCCTGCCTTAACCTCTTTACTAGCTGAGACCACAGGGCCAAAAGGGCCAGGTAGAAGATGATTAGTGTTTTTGTTACAAGTCTTTATCTATCACGTGTTTATGTCAGTGTCTCTCACATGGCACGGCGTGCCTGCCACAGCGTGCGTGTGTTCTCAAAGCACAACTTTGACGCTGACTTCTCTCCTTGAGGGAGTTAGGGCTGGAACTCACCTCCTTAGGACTAGCTGCAAACACCTCACCTGCTGAGCCACCTCAGCAGCTACTGTGTATAAATAGAGACTTTTCTCTGTCTTGCCCAGTCCTACTGGACCAATTTCTCCCTGGTTACAATTGTTTGGCCAACAGCTCTGGTTTCTTACTGTCTAGCTCCACCTATAAATGAGCCCATTTAGATTAGTTTATATATTACCTTGAGGCTTGTAGAGGAGGGGGGGCATGTTCTCCTCAGGCTAATGTTTACACATAAATCTTGGCGGGCTTGAGCCCCGCTGGTCCCTTTTGTATTTCCTGCCCATCGCTGGATCCCTGGTGTTGTAAGCTATCCCTTCATTAAAATTTGCTGTTTCATATTAAGCTAGCCTAGTTATTACGCCGCATACAGAGGCTCGTGACTTGTTGCCTCATGTCTTGCTTCCACAGCATCTACATGGTCTCATATTTTCTTGTCTCTGGCGCATTTCTCTCTGTGTGTGTCTCTTTCTCTCATTCTCTCTCATTCTCTCTTTCCTCTCTCTCTGACTTTTCTTTCTGGTTTTAGTCTGCTTGGACATTGTCCAAAACAGCTTTATACATTAACTAATAAAAGCAACACATAATTTGTAGCATGCAGAAGGGCGTCCCACATCATCTCCTATTTTCTGTCTAGTTAAAAAGGAAGGTTTTAACTTTAACATAGAAAAATTACATATGACAAAAGAGGTATCAAGCAAGAATTACAGTTAACAATATTTAGTCTATTTGTATTTGGAAAAATTAAAGAAATTTCTTTATCATTTTTCCTATCTTTGTGAGTTTAAAATTTTATATCTAATTTATCTTTTATCATAGCTAAGGAAAACTATAATCATAACTATGTAGTCTTCAACTCCATCAAAGACTCCAGAAGGATATATTACCTAAGTAAACAGGAAGTGCATTGTAAGCAACTTCCAAAACTCTAGAATTGACAGAGACATCTCATGCCTGGACAGTCACGCAGAGTTCTTTTGTAATGTTAGGGCATCCATCTTCAGCCTACAGGCCCAGAGTACCTGGAAGACTTCTCAGTGACGCAGGGAGTTAGAAGATCTGGTTTACCCTTTACTGGCAAAGCTACAAAGCCATTGAAGGAATGGATGTGCTAGCCAGGTGAGGGCAAGCAGACAAGGAGTAAAACTTTTCTGCTTTTCTGTCTTATAGAATCTCAGCAGAATGTATGACCCATATTAAAGGTCTTCAGGACTCAAGATTTAAATAAAAGCTTGTGTCTTCCTGCCTCGAGATCCAGATCAAAGGTGTGTGTGTGTCTTCGTGCTTCAAAGGTTTGAATGAGAAGTGAATTCACACATTTCAAACCAAGCAGAAAATATTTTACGGTCATGCCCCCCATTTCTGGATTGTAGTTCATCCCAGGCAGAGTCAAGCTGACAACCAAGAATAGCCATCACAGCTGTTATATTTATATTACTTTTATATACCAAAGTTGCATTTATCAATATTTAATCACTCTATGAACACCAAGATTTCATTATTTGCTGGAAAAACCTGCTTCTAGCTGTGGTATGGCTCAGGCCTAGCACACACTTTTAATCCAGGTGCTTTCTGTTTGACTATTGTAAACAGGATTAAATAAAGTCAATATGTCAAGAGCTGGAGCAAGCATCCAGTTGACGGGAAATAGCCATAGAGAGTAAGAGGGAGTCAGGAAGAAGGATAGAGAGTTGTGTAGGAAGTAAAAGGGAGGGTCCACCGGTTGGAGGAGTTTGTTTGAGATGGCTTAGGAGTAACCTCTCTTTCTGGGCTGATGGTGGAGGAGGAAGCAGCTGAGCGCTTTTTCTGACTCTCTGAAAAAGCAGGTTTTTCACCCCAGCATCTGACTCCTGAATCATTATTGATACAATAGAACAATAGATTTATTTTAAACAAATTTGGTGCCCAATGTGGGGCACAACCACAGGGACAGAGAATTGATGCCATAGGTGAACAAACTGAGGAGTCATCAGATTTAGTATTAAAAGTCATACGTTTTCCAGCAAAGACTCCAGAAGGATATATTACCTAAGTAAACAGGAAGTGCATTGTAAGCAACTTCCAACACTCTAGAATTGACAGAGACATCTTGCTGCCTGGAAAGTAACCCAAAGTTCTTCATTAACATTGGGGCATCCATCTTCAGTCAACAGGCCCATAATATCTGGCAGACTTTTCAGTGAAGAAGGAAATTTGAAGATGTTTTGCCTTGTAATGACAAAGTTCATCAGATGCTTTCTTTTATGTCCTGAAAAATGCCTGGCAGTTCTTCCATAAAGCAGGAGGTTCTTTGATGCCTACTTCCTCTTGAAGTAATTGGTGCTGCCAGTAGCAGACATGTCTCACTGTTTAGAAAAGTCTAAGTATTTAACACGCTTTAAATGCCATATTCTATAGGTCTTTGAAAGATTTGAAGGGCTGGAGAGATGGCTCAGAGGTTAAGAGCATTGCCTGCTCTTCCAAAGGTCCTGAGTTCAATTCCCAGCAACCACATGGTGGCTCACAACCATCTGTAGTGAGGTCTGGTGTCCTCTTCTGGCCTTCAGGAATACACACAGACAGAACAATGTATACATAATAGATAAATAAATATTTCAAAAAAAAGATTTGAAGAATACCTATCCATCTGAAATATATCTCTCTCCATCCAGAAAACTTAACTAACATGACTACATGTTTGATTATTAAAGGCGACTACCTGTTAATCCATTTTTCTTAATTAATTATACATTACCTTTTTAAATGAACGCACAAACACAATACTTTAATCAAGAGCAGAAATATACATAAAACAAAATCAACCTTAAATTTATATCAATAAACCAGATCCATACCAATGCAAATTAATCATCTCTATAGCATATCCCTCTTTAAATGTAACCAAACATTTATAAACAATCATTTAGGGAGTTTGAGCATTGTTCTCTAGACTACTGCCTGTTGATTGGGGGCACTGTTAATCAGGTCTTCTATGGGGTATCCTGTGTAGTAGGTCTATCTCAGCCAGCAGTCCTGAAGCTGTTATGGATGTTAGACCACCTGGGCCATTGCTACAGGGTCTTGTTTGATCAAACTGTATTAGCCAGTAAAAAAAATCCACAACTTTCTATCCTCTGTGGAAAAAAAAGTAGAACTTCTTTTCCAAAGCAACACGTCCTTAGTCCCAAACTTTGAAGTCAAGATACCTTGAAATTAAATATGTTGGTTTAGCTTATCAGCCCATACAATGAAATATGACTCTGTACTTAGCTCATTCACAGTTAAAAAATTTAAGAAAATACAA